AAAAAAAAAAAAAAAAAAGAAATATTTATTTGAAAATTAGGCTCATAAATTTGTCTTTCCTTTTGACCTCAAATTGAATGTAATAAGTGACCACAACTGAGGTGATGGAATTATATTTGTTAATGTTGAGCACATTATGATAGAGGAAATGAAATTTCTGGAAAGTAGCAGTGACAAGGATTCTTTGTTTGACCAAGCTTTATCCTAGGTCCATCTGTACTTTTCCTTGTAAGGTCCCGTTTTAAGAAGAACCCTGCTGATTTGGTTTAATCCGAATCCTATTTGCCCACCCTTAATATCTGATTGGGTTCCTTATCCCTTAACCAGCCCTCAGGTGCTGTCTAAGCTCCCTGGTCTGCCTTCAGCAAAAATCCTGTTAGGTTGGTTTAGCTAGAATCCCCCTCTTAGTCATGTATCATCCACTGACTGCACCCTACTTTTTGGCTATAAATCCCCACTTGTCCATGAGGTGTTGGGAGTTGAGCCCCATTCTGTACTGAGGTGTCTTTCCCTTTGTAACAGTCCTGAGTAAAATCTGTTTTTACAACTTTAACTACCGTTCAGCTCTGATTTTGACAGCACCCTAGTCTCAAAAAGTATGGACTAGAACGAACCCCGCGAACTAAGGTATACCTGAGAATACAATCAAGGCAGAGCAGGGATCTCTGGCTGTCATAGTAAATGAAGTATCTACCCCAAACATCTTGCACCATCTGGCACAGAATAGGCATTCAAAAGTTTTTATTTAGTGGATAGTGAAAATGACCTTCTACGAAAAGCCAGGGCAAAATGTAATGAAGCAAGTAGTTAGCACTTGTGGTCCTTCAATATCCAGGCACTAGAGCGTGTAGACACAAAACTGTATCCTAAAAGTTTCATTTGTGGAGGAAAGGAGTTGCCTTTTTTCAAAAGCCTTAATATTCCATAGATTATAAAATCTATTCATTTGAAATTATGTACTTTTGTTTTTAGTATATTCACAGATGACCGTGTGTACAATCATCACTAATCTAAATTTAGAACATTTGAGCATCCTAAGAAGAAACTCCATACCCATTTGCAGTCACTCCACATTCTTTCTACCGGCCCCAGCTCCAGCCCTAGAAAACCACTAATCCACTTTCTGTCTCTTTATGGATTTGGTTGTTCTGGGCATTTCATATAAAAGGAATCCAATAATATATGATTCTTTTTGTCTGGTTTTTCACTTAGCATGTTTTCAAGATTCATCTAGCTTACAGCATGTATCAGTACTTTCTTCCTTTTTATACCAAATAATATTCCATTGTATGGACAGACCACTTTTGTTTATCCATTTTTTAATAGATAGACGTTTTATTGCTTTTGGTTATGACAAATGATATTGCTACCAACATTTCACGTACATGTTTTTGTGTGCACATATGTAACCATTTTTCTTTCCTATAAGAGTGGAATTGCTAGGCCACACATCAACTCTTGTGTTTAATTTTTGGAGGAACAGCAAAACTGCTGTCCAAAGTGTCTGCATCACTTTATATTCCCATCAGAACTGCAAGAGGGTTCTGATTTCTCTACATCTTGTCAATGCCTATTACTGTCTTGCTTTCTTAATTTTATTCATACTAATGAGTATGAAGTGGTATCTCATGGTGGTTTTCGATTTGCGTTTCACTGATGGCTAATGATCTTGGCCACCTTTTCAGGCCCTTAGCACCCTTATGAGTATCGGCTTTGGATATATGGCTATCAGATCCTTCATTCATTTTGTAATTGGGTCACCTGTCTTGTAATTATTGAATTGCATGATTTCTAAATATATTCTGGATACAAATCCTTTATCAAACATGTGATTTGCAAATATTTCCCCCTATGCTGTGGGTTATCTTTTCATTTTCTTGATAGTGCACTTTGAAGTGTAAAAGTTTCTTTTCTTTCTTTTTTTTTTGAGACAGACTCTTCCTATCCACCCTTGGTAGCGTGCCATGGCATCACTGCAACCTCAAACTCCTGGGCTTAAGCAATTCTCTTGCCTCAGCTTCCCAAGTAGCTGGGACTATAGGCACCCATCACAACGGCTGGCTATTTTCTTGTTGCAGCTGTCATTGCTGCTTAGCTGGCCCGGGCTAGGCTCAAACACACCAGCTTCAGTGCATATGGCTGGCACCTTAGACACTGTGCTATAGGCACCAAGCCAAAAGTTTCTTTTAATTTTAATGAAGTCCAATTTATCTGCTTTTCTATTGTCATTTGTGCTTTTGTTGTCAGAAACCATCTCACCTAACCTAACGTCATGAAGATTTACTGCTCTGATTTCCTCTAGAGTTTTATCTTTTATATTGATCCAGGAGCCATTTTTACTTAAGTATTGGGTA